AAAATTGGTATTGATTTGGCCAAGTTGTGACCCTTTGCAAATTGCACACTCTGCACGCAGAGAGTTTTCACACTTGCTCGACTTGTAAAGTAGGCATCTAAAGATGGCCTTGTGCTCTGTAGCCATGGTTATATCTCTTAGGCTTTGGTTGAACTTGCCATAGTTTGTTTCCTGCAGTTGGTTAATGAACTCTCATTGCTGCCAGCATCGCATGTAGTTGCTTCCTAACTCGGTGCTGTCAAAATGTGGGATTACTTGCTTATTCCTTGAATTCTTGTTTGCTTGTTTCTAAGCCTGTATTATTTCCACAGAACCAGGTAGATGAAACTGTGTACAGTCACTCTTGCAGATGGTATCCTCTGCATGGGAGAATAGTATTGATGGACTAGGGGAAACAGTTGCTTAACAGGGAGATGTTGCAGTTGGAACAGCACGTCTAGCTCCATCCTCAGCTATACCTAGCAAAAGGCATGCTGAAGACGCATGGTGAATTAGACAAGGGATTTTTCTTGAATGAGGAAGAACAAATGTGACAAAGACTAAACAGGTCATTTCTGGATCATTTTATGCAAACAGCACTTTAGGTGGGACTGCCGTGTGCAAACGTTTCACTTGTTCTCTATGAAAGTTACACTTTCAGGTTCACAAGATGGGTTCACTACTGCTTAGTTAAACCCACTAATGTTTTCTTAATATGTTCAGTGATAAGAGTACAACAGAAACTAGCTTAACTTTATCCATTCTCTTTGGCATTGGTACTGTGACATAAATAAAAATTCTGGTTTCAATATGAGGTAGGGATGGAAAAGTGATTTCCAACTATGTAAATAGCTTTAAGGAAAGCATAGAAGCCTGACTTAAATAAACACTATTTATTTTGCTTGTTTTTCTTTTACAGAATAACCGGCATTGCCATTTAAACATTAACATTCATATTGGTCTTAACATTTTAAAGAAATAATACAAGAGGTGGTAGATAAAAACATTGTTGTTTTGTATGTATATGTGCAGTAGGGTGATGAAGATAGTAAAAGGAGGGAAAATCTGGAGTTTCTCTTTGCCTGTAGGTGTTCTAGGTAAGCAATGGTACTATAGAGGTGGTAGTGAAATTACTTAGTAATACTGGGTTTTTAAATTTTAATATGATCACTTGGGAAATAAGGCTATATGGGTAATTCCACAAGTACTGTGTAATGCTAGTGAGCTTGTCATACAGTCATGAGAAGGTTGTTGTGGGACTTGGATTTCTATGCAGTGGGAGTTATCTTGTGTCTATGGGTTCATGTAGGTTTGTTGCTAGTGGTTATTTGTTTAAGAGGAATCGCAACCCACAAAAAAAGCTCCACTTCATCTGTCATAATGGAGTGACACTTCACTTGGCACTAGCGTTTGCCCTCTCTTTTACCAGGCAGAAAATGTTATCTTTTTAAAAATTCCTTATATAAAGGGAAATTAAGCCTTGCTTAAGGCTAGCCATATCTAAAATTACTTCTATGGGAGGCCGTGGCAATTCCATTTTGATTTCACACATCTGGGAATTAATAAAGTGTCAGAACTGTAGATAAGTACATAAAAAGTTCAAGGAGAAATTAATAGTGCTCTGAATCAAGTCTCTGCTCTACAGATTTCAGCCATGTATCTAATTCCGGAATTCATCCAAAGTTTAAAATGAGAATCTGAAGATTTGCAATGCACATACAGTTGTTCATGACGGATGGTCATGCAACAGCTGGAAAGTGATCTGTCATTTTCCATGAGCATCTTCAAACCCTGCTGAAAGCAGAGGATAATGTCTGTGCTGAGTCTTGAGGGGTTTTGTGTGTTGGCTTTTAGTGTTGTCCCTTTCTGACGCACAGCGAGTTTTGTCCTTCACCATTAGTCCTGATGAAGTGAAACAGGCATGGAATGGCACAGAATTCTGCACATGAAATTCTGCACCAACCTGCAGTTCAGACGCTTTTACTGCTACTGCTTATTTACAGGAATATCTGTAAGTGGAAGCAGAGGTAATAAGCTTATTTTATGTGTTTACTGTGTAATGTGAGAAGAAACTTTTAGTAAATACCAAAATGTAATTAATGTAGTCATGAGAAGGAAGTAAAATTTTTTATTTATAGCAAAAAGAAGTGACAGCTACCTCACCGAGCCTTTCTTAATGTTAATTAAAAAGATAGATTTATATAAACATGGACAGAAGAAAATAACAACTAATTCCACTATTTCAGAAGGAATGAATGACTGCTGTGCTGTTGGCATCCCTGGTAAGTTTGATTAGGTAGTCTTCATTTTAGAATTGTATTTTAAAGATACAAGACTTAGAGCAATTTTTTTTAAAGGTAAAAATTTAATATTAAAAAAATAATGGCCTAGCACACTACATAATAACAGCTATTAATACAAAAATCTATTGTGGTCAAATTACATTTCTAAAAGATAAGCTTTTCTTGCATTCTGGAAGAGCAAATGGCACCTGTTACATGTCACGCTGTCATCGGAGCAGCTGAACAGCTTTCCAGAGAGGACACTATCTGCTGGGCTCCAAGGAATGGCATAGATAGCTCTGTAAAATGTGGAAATTTGATAAACTTGTTTTCACTACTCAAGCAAATCTCTTCTGCCTGGAGTGTCAAGGTACATTTCAATCTTGCTCCTTAGCAGCATCTGTAGCAATAATTTGAAAACAAACATAAAATCTATGTAGAATTGCTGTACACATTAAAAATTCAAGCAGATTCATTTCGTTGGTGGCTTTTGACAATTTTCAAAACACCAAAGTGTTGTAGGAGCCTGGGTCACATCAAGTTCCAGGGTTTTTTATATTTGTGTGTGTGTGTGTGTATTAATTCTTTGGCCTCCCTCAATCTTCAAACTGGTGCCTGTTTAGTTGTTTTAGGGTTTTCAATCTGGAAATCTCATTGTGCAAGAAACTAAATCTTTTTAAAAAAAGTTATTCATAGGAACACACCATCAGAATTTCAAAATGTTCCAGTTTTAAGAAGCTAAAATGACATCCAGGGTTATCTTAAGACTCGTGGTGCTGTGCTGAGAGGAATGATGGTTTGAGAAACGTGTAGTTTGTTTTCCATGATTTGCTTTTGTGGTTCTCTGCATAGATCTTGATGACAGTGGAAAAGCTGATGCTTTATATGCATGGTACAGACCTTTTGGTAATTATAATCTACCAGAAGCTTCTCTGGGGCGTTATTTAATGTTCTGTCACATATTCAGTATCGAGGTGAAACATTTGATAAATCTCACCTTCTTGAACTATATTGCACTTTCAGTTTAGGTTATTTATTATTTGTATGGTGTACAATGCATGCTGTGCGTTGATTTGACCTTTCCTAAAGAAAGGTAGCCATCTGCTCCCGCTTACCTCCTCTTCGTTCAGTGGCACATGGATCTAGAGTAAAGGATTTGCCTCAAATGATTTGGAAATAGCTGTTCAGTTAGCATGCACTACAATTAGTAAAAGTTCAATCAGTTATTAATAAATAAGGGATTATCCATCATCTTTAGATGCAAGGTCTTCTGATACTGTATTCAACTTGTATACGCCAAATTACAGTAGAGCAGTTATGTGCATCATATATATATTTTATATTTAGTGTAATCTATCAAATACCCAGTGCTTGTGTTTTCTGAATTCTGTGCTTGAATTCAAAGTCCCCCTCCTACCCCTGTCTCCTCTTCACAGAAGTGGCCTTTTTCTCTTACTGGTTTGACCTAACTACCTATGGTTTTTATTTCACATGGCTACTTTTTAAAGACACCTGCATTCTTGCATTTTGGGCTTATTTACTATGTATCACTACATATTGGTTGCTTTTTGTCCTATTCTCTGTTGTTTGGGTGCCTTTTTTACATACAGAATATCCAGATCAGCAACCTTTGTAACAGAGACTCTTTTTTCCCCCCTGTTATTGTCATTTTAGCCTAAGAAGGCCTTTTTCAGAGTTACCATCCTTCCTCTTGAAAACACTCTTATTGTAATTGTTCCTGTTTTCCTTTCCGCTGATCTAAGTTGGTCACATCTGCTCATGGCTCTGTAATCAGGCACTCTGCACTAAAATTGCTAAGATGTACTTGGAGACAGAACTGTGAGAAAAGAGGCATGCAAAATGACCTCAGAACAGAAAACATGTTGTTCATTGCTGCTTATCCTCTGGACTTCTCGCTTAACTCATCCTCCAGCAGGTAGTTGCTCCCACTGCTTTTGCCTAACATCGCTGTGGCTGGGTTCTTTTTTCCTGCTTGGGGGGGTTCCACCCA